CCCCCCCCCCCCCCCCCCCCCGCTTAGGGGTTCAGGTTGAGAACGTCTTTTTGATGAAGATCATGTCCTATGTCTTTATTTCTTGCAGGCCAGGCCAGGGCTTGGTGGCCCAAGATGCTCCAGTGTGTCTGGGTGGGGGGTTGGAGGCCTCAGGGGAGTTGGAGCCTTGGACAGGACAGCGTAGGTGCTGGAAGGGAGGGAAAGTAGAGGGGACAACTTCATTAAACTGTGACTCACTTAGCAGTCTCTTAGTCATTTAAAACAGAAAGGTCTGTGGCTTTTTAGCGTATTTGCTAAGTCCTGTAACAGAGTTAGCTTAGGGTGTTTTTAGTACCCCCATCCCTACCCCACCAAGAAGAATGTTTCCCTTAGTGACTGCTCCCCAGCCATCGACAGTTGCTAATATATTTTCTGTCTCCGTGGCTTTGCCTATTCTGGATAGCTCTTATGGGTAGGACCATACAGGATTTAGTCTTTTGTACTGGTTTTCTTTATGTTGTAAGGGTTCAACCATGTTGTAGCAGGTGTGGGTGCTTTGTCCCTCTTTACAGCCGTGTAGTATTCCTTTGTGTGAACATACCACATTTGGTTGGTCCATCTTCAGTTGAAGAACAGCTGGGTTTTGTAAACAGAGACTACTCGTTTGTTTCCCAGCTGCCCAGGCCAAAATAATCACACAGAAACTATATTAATTACAACACTGTTTGGTCAATAGCTTAGGCATATTCCTAGCTAGCACTTACATCTTAAATCAACCCATTTCTATTAATATATGTATCGCCACGAGGCTGTGCCTCCTGGTAATATTCCAGCGTCCTTCTCCTTTGGCAGCTACATGGTGTCATCTTCTTGGCTCTGCCTACTCTCTCTCTCTCTCTGTCTCTTCCAGCCTGGCTATATTCTGCCCAGACATAGACCAAAGCAGCTTCCTTATTAAGCAATGGTAATAAAACATAGTCACAGCTTACAGAGGGGAATCCCACACCATTGTTGTTCCCACTTTGCGGTGCTGCTGTGAACATTTCTATATATTTTGTTTATGTTTGGGTGTGGGTTTCACACATGTTGTAGCCAGGGGACAACTTTGTGGAGCTGAGTCTCCCCGTCTACCCTCTGAGTTCTAGGGACTGAACCCAGCCTTGCACAGCAGATGCCTGTACCTACTGAGCCACCTACACAGCCCTGTCTGTGTCCACATTCACGGTCCTCCAGGGCACACACCCTGGGATTGCTGGGACCCCGGTTTTCGCTAGTTACCTCCAGCCTCTGACCTTCCTGGCGTGAGCTCTCCCTCGGTTCGCTGAAGGGTCACCCCAGCGCCCACCTCTCTCCTGCAGGTTGCCTCCTTCAATGACCCTGACTTCCTCAAGCAGCTGGAGATGTCCATAAAGTACGGGACCCCTTTCCTGTTCCACGATGTGGATGAGTACATCGACCCTGTGATTGACAGTGTCCTGGAGAAGAACATCAAGACTGCCCAAGGCCGCCAGTTCATCATCCTGGGGGACAAAGAGGTTGACTATGATTCCAACTTCAGGCTGTACCTCAACACCAAGCTGGCCAATCCCAGATACTCGCCATCGGTGTTTGGGAAGGCCATGGTCATCAACTACACTGGTAAGAAGGGGCAGACCTGCTGCAGACACCCAGGGCCCCACACTGAGAGTGATGCTGCCTGGGCACCTGGTGGCCCTGGTCTTTCCCTGGAAGTTGTCTTTGCTGGTCTCTTCTTAATGTTTGGGTGGCCCCGCCCCCGCTCCTGAAGGCTGGGGACTTTGAAAGGCAGTGAGCTGCAGGCACCTGGGTATATGCAAAGCCTGGACTCAGGGTGGGCAGTGAGGTCTCTTTGTCCTCTCAGTCACGCTGAAGGGCCTGGAGGACCAGCTGCTGAGTGTGCTAGTGGCCTATGAGAGGCGGGAGCTGGAGGAGCAGAGGGAGCACCTCATCCAGGAGACAAGCGAGAATAAGAACCTGCTAAAGGACCTGGAGGACTCACTCCTGCGCGAGCTGGCCACATCCACGGGGAACATGCTGGACAATGTGGAGCTGGTGCACACCCTGGAAGAGACCAAGTCCAAAGCCACAGAGGTGGGGACTTCTGTGCAGGTGGGAGGGCCCTGTCTCCTTCTAGTTCCACCCTAGTGGCCGCAGGGTCTCAGGCAAAGCCTTGAGCCTAGCAGACGGGAGAGAGGCATCACCTCTTCTCACCCGACCAGAAAAGCCCACCTGGGGACTGGAGGATAGCTAAGCAGTTAAGAGCCCTGGCTGCTCTTCCAGAGGACCAGGGCAGTTCCCAGCACCTGCATGGCAGCTCACAACCCTCTGTAACTCCAGTTCCAGAGGATTCGATGCCCATTCATGACCACCTCAGGCACCAGGCGTGTGTGTGGTGCAAGTATGTGCATGCAGGCAAAATCTTTATACATAAAATGATCTTGAAGAAGAAATAACTATATGGGGCTGTGCTGGGGGAGGGGGGAGTATTCCCACGCAGCTGGGCAATCTTCTCGAATTGAGAGTCACGGAAATCCCAGCCTTGCCTACTCTAAATATAAAATGACATTATCAGTTCAAAAGCAAAGTTACAGTTATGGCTTCAAGTGAGGCTGGATGCAGAATTCATAAATACCATATAGATTCTACACCCCTCCATTTGTGTGCTGGGCCGATATTGGGTTGACTTCATCTTCTTCCAGTCTCTGCCTTAAAGGACAAGGCCTGATGTCCCCTTGGGTTCAAGTTCAAGGTCCCTGCAGAGCCTAGTGACTGTCAACTCTAGGGAGGGCTTCGTGGTCCCTTTTGTACCCTACACTTGCCTTCCAGGCTTGTACCATCCACCTGTACTACAGTACTGTCTACAAGTCTCGGGCAAGGGCCTAGAGGTTTAAACACATGCGCACAGAAACACGGGGACACGGGTCATTCTTGAAACAAGTATGCCAAGAATACCCGCTTTATTGTGTTCCAAGGCAGCTTCCCTGACCAATGGCCACGCCCTAGCTCTCAAGATCCTTCAGCTGCAAGCCACCAGAAACCACTCCCTTGTCTCATGCTCAGAGCAGCTGCAAACACAGGAAAACAAATTGTTTTGCTCAGAGCAGCTGTAAATATAACAAGTCATTTACAAGAAATTCAGGGTCTGGGGGTCCACAGCCCCCATCACCTCCCCGTTTCCATGGTAACTGAGGTCTTTCTGCAGGTATCAGAGAAGCTGAAGTTGGCAGAGAAGACAGCCCTGGACATCGACAGACTGCGGGATGGCTACCGGCCGGCGGCGAGGCGGGGCGCCATCCTGTTCTTTGTGCTGTCCGAGATGGCACTTGTCAACTCCATGTACCAGTACTCCCTCATCGCCTTCCTGGAGGTCTTCGGGCTGTCGCTGAAGAAATCGCTGCCTGATTCCATCCTCATAAAGCGGCTGAAGAACATCATGGACACACTGACCTTTAACATCTACAACTATGGCTGCACGGGTGAGCGAGGGGAGGGGAGAAAGCTCTGCGTGGAGCACGGAAACTTAGCCCGCCTTGGGCCGACTGCTCACGTGACAGAGGGATGTCCAGAGCACTGACTTCTAAACCCCATCTTCAGCAAATCCCCCACACCCTAAAGATGACCCATTCCAGGCTTGGTGGGGTTCACAGAGACGCTCAGTCTAGGGCATCTCCATTGGGCTGAGCCTGTGCCATCAGAAGTTTCTGGATCCTTCTCTCCCTTCCTCACCCTGGCAGCCTCTGCTGCACTTCCTGACTGAGGACACATCTGTTCCGGACACTTCCTGCCAAGGGAGTCCTGGAATATGTGGTTCTCGTAGCTAGCCTCTTCATTTAATAATCTGAACATCATCTGTGCTGTAGTATCAGGATTCGCCCGGTCCAGTGCTGAACGGGTAGCGCCCCACACTCTCTTATTTCTCAGCTGCTGGACGTTGGTTTGTTTCTGCCTTTTGGTTGTTAGGCTAATGCAGCTGTCAACATTTGCCACAGGTGTGTGTGTGTGTGTGTGTGTGTCTGCGTGCGTGCGTGTGCACGTGCGCGCACGCGCATGAGCTCACGTATGCCTGCCTATGCTGTTGGTCCTGGGCCTGGAGCGCTGGGCCTCCTGCATGCCGGGTGAGTGCTCTTCCCCTGAGCTTCTTTCCAGCCTGAGCATTTGCTTTTCATTTTGGATCCATATGTTCCCTGGAGCAGAATTTCTGGGCTTCATGCCAAGTCTCCGACTTTTGGGGGGACTACCCGACTGGCTTCCAAAATGCCTATACTATTTTCTACTCCCCAAATGCACTGCTTGTGAAGAACATTTCATTCTGGAGCATTCTGAACACTATCTGGCCAGTGCCAGCTCTGGCACCGTCTTCACAGCCAGCCCCCTTTGTGAGTATTGGACGCACCTGTCAGTCAGCACTGCTACTTGAACCTCTTAAGCGGGTCATGTGCGTTTTAAAACAAAGGCACAGCCATTGCTTCCAGCCCCGGAAACGCCATGTCTCTCCCAGGAACTCAGCTCTGCTGCCTTGTGGAGAAGGTGGCTCCTGCCTAGCTTGCACACCCTCCACCTACGGAATAGATCATGCGATATTGCCAGGTGCACACAGATGTCTGTCACTACAGACGGCCCTTTTGCACCTGAACAGCCATGGCCATCAGATATGAAGAGGGTCACCGAGTGATGTGGGGTTTCATTTCACTTCCCTCGGACTTGAGCGTGCCCTGTGCAAGGGCTGCAGTTCTGAAGTGTAGTCCCTGTCTCTGTCTCTCCACAGGGCTGTTCGAGAGGCATAAGCTCCTCTTCTCCTTCAACATGACCATCAAGATAGAGCAGGCGGAGGGGAGGGTCCCCCAGGAGGAGCTGGACTTCTTCCTAAAAGGTAACGATAAAAGGACAGACAACTACCTATCCTTTCTAAAGGGCTTGCTGACTCTCGCTCCCCTGCCATCCAGGGGACATGCATGTCTATTCACTATAAACACACCAGTAGCAAAATCCCTCTCAAGCTCAGCGTCCAGAGGCCACGGGTCACCCAGCAGCCCTCAGAAACACTTCCTGGTTGACTCCGGGCACCTCTGTCAGGGGCTGTGTTGAGGCTGGAGGCCTGGCCAAGTTGCCCAGCTGGGCTCATTGGTGGCAAGGACAAGCCCATGCCTCGCCACTCCTAGGCAAAGGGACCTCTCCCCAAAGCAAGAGCTAGGGAAGTACAGTGTATGCGGTCAGTGTACTGGGCACGGACAGCCCATGGCTGGCACCCTCTTCTCCCGGTGATTAGGGAACATTTCCCTGGAGAAGAGCAAACGGAAGAAGCCGTGTACCTGGCTGTCAGACCAGGGCTGGGAAGACATCATTCTCCTCTCAGAGGTGTTTTCAGAGGTCTTTGGGCAGCTCCCTGACGATATCGAGCACCACGTTTCCACCTGGCAGGAGGTGAGTGTGCACATGCTCTCCTCCCCTTCCTGACACAGCAGCCATCTCCACACTGAGCCTACAGCCTCCCCATCGCGAGGAAGACAACACGTGGGGAAGCTGCCCCATATGGCCAGTGAGTGCCCTTGAGTATCCTTGGATAAACTTCTTCATCCAGTCCTGCTAGCTGTGTGGGAGAACCAGCCACTCCTTCACTCACGCATATGCCCACTATCTGTCCATCCACCCATCCATCCATCCATCCATCCATCCATCCATCCATCCATCCATCCATAATCTATCCCCCATCCATCAATTCATTTTTCTAACTGCTGATCTGTCTATGCATCATCAATTCATCTATCACCCATCTATCCATCTATTCATTTATCCATCTATTACCCATCCGTCTGTTTATCCATCTAACCAGTGTTCATGTATCTGTTCATCTATCCATCACCCATTCATCAGTCGGTCCATCCTTTAATCCATCTATCCAACTGTTTATTTGTCCATCTGTCCCTCTACCACCCACCACCCATCCACCCATTCATCCAACTGTTCATCTATGTATGCGGCGTAATAACCAGGCTAGCTTAATATGAAACAGCAAATTTTAATGAAGAGATAGCTTACAACACTAGGGATCCAGCGATGGGCAGGAAATACAAAAAGGACCGGCAGATTTATACGTAAACATTTATACGTAAACATTAGCCCGAGGTGAACACTCCCCCCATTGGGCTGGGCTTCCCCTACACATCTATCCATCCATCCATATAACTGTCCATCTGTCTGTCTCCCCATCTTTCTATCACCTATTACCTGTCCATCCATCCTTCCGAGAAATACTCCCTGGGCATCTCTTGGCTGCTATTTCCCTGCTGTGCCCTCTGAACCCCACAATGGTTGCTACCCTTCCAGTTTTTCAGCTCATGGTTTTTGGTGTCAACAATGACAGCTGGATCAAAAGTTCAGATTTTCCTCTCTCTCTGGTGGCTCTTGCCACCTTCACATGCAAACTGTGGCCCGTGCCATTCCTGAGTCAATGCCACAGCCAACGCTTTTTGCTTCTCACAGTGGTATGACCTGGATTCGCTAGAGCAGTTCCCGTTCCCCCTGGGCTACGATGACTACATCACTGCCTTCCAGAAACTGCTTATTTTACGCTGCTTCCGGGTAGACCGGGTATACCGTGCAGTGACTGACTACGTGACCCTCACCATGGGAGAGAAGTGAGTGCCCCAGCCCGGCCCACAGGAGCAGGGCTAGCCTGTTCTAAGGGACCTGGCCTGAATGCTTCAGACAAACACGAGGGGCCACATACAGGAGGAAAGGGAAACTTAAAAGTATTTTAATGTTTTAAGTGATTAAAGTAATTTGTGCATGTGTGGGAGTACAGGTACACGTATGTGTGGGAGAGTGGGTCATGTGTGGGGGAGTACAGGTACATGTATGTGTGTGGGAGAGTGGGCATGTGTGTGGGAGAGTGGGCATGTGTGTGGGAGAGTGGGCATGTGTGTGGGAGAATGGGTCATGTGTGTGGGAGAGTGGGTCATGTGTGTGGGAGAGTGGGTCATGTGTGTATGCATGCTTCAAGGCATGAGCTCATTCCTTAGGAGCCATCCAATTTGTGGTTTTGGTTTTATATTTGTTTGTTTGGTTGGTTAGTTGGTTTTTTCGAGACAGGGTTTCTCTGTGTAGCCCTGGATGTAGTCCTGGAACTCACCCTGTAGACCAGGCTGGCCTCGAACTCAGAAAGATTCACCCGTGTCTGCCTCCTGAGCACTGAGATTAAAGGTGTGCTCCACCACCGCCTGGCACCTTTTCTTAATTTTTATTAGTTCTTTGAAGATTCCGTACAGTGCATTTTGACCATATCATCCTCTAGCTCCTCCCATCCCCCTTCCATCTTTGTGTTCTCGCTTTTTAAAACCCATTGAGTCCCATTTCTGCTGCCCGTATATCTTGGGTGTGTGACCACTGGAGTGTGGCGGACCTGCCAGGCCCACAGTTTTGGGAAAAAAAAAAAAAAACTCTCGTTCTTTCTCCATTGGCAATAGCTTCTTGGGTAGGGGTGGGACTTCATGCCCACCTTCCTGTCATATGGGCAAGATACTATTACTCCACTAAACAGACACAGTATTAAATCGACCCCTAGTGATTCATTTCTAGCCCTACACAGATCCTTTGGCAGTAGATGGTGACTGACACAGAAATTCTGGTTTCTCTAAAATATGAAACCCCTTCTTCCTATGCATTGGCGGCTGTCTTAGTCTGTTCTGTGTTGCCACAACCAAATACTTGATGCTGCGTGATGGTGAACAAAAAAAGATTTATTTGGCTTGTGTTTCTGGTAGCCAGAATCACAGCCTGGCAACAAGAGAAAGAGCCATGTGCCAAAGAAGTCAGGCACATGAGGAACCTCACTTTGTAACTACCTGATCACGTGAGAAGGAACCCAGTCCTGTAGGAAGTATGTTAATCCCTTCCAAGGGTGGTGCCTTGGTGACCAGTACCGCCACCTCCGATACCATTGTGTTGGGGTCCATGTGTCAAGTACAAGTGTGTCTGGGGGACAAACACTATCTAAATTAGAATATAACTAATGAAAAACCCTCAAGAAAGGGGCAATGTGGCGCATGCCCACAGAGCCGCTGATGTGTGATTTCCGGGTATGTGTCTGAGGCCTGTGCACATGAAGAGCAGGTCAAAGCCCCCAGCTCAGTATCACCTTGCTGAAACTAGTATACAGGGATCACATGAGGTAGAGGGAGCCAGGGAGGCCTCTGCTACCTAGGAGAGCATCATGGGTGCTGGATCTGTGTGTGCAACGGGATTCTCAAAAGGCTAGGACAAAGGTGTGAAGGACTATGTTCTGGATGCTGACGGGGAGCGGGAGGCAGCAGGGTAGGGAGAGGACCTGGAGCTGTCCTGCAAGTCGTTTCGCGTTCTCCCTTTTGCCAGGTACGTTCAGCCCCCGATGATCAGCTTTGAGGCCATTTTCGAGCAGAGCACCCCCAATTCGCCCATTGTATTCATCCTGAGTCCTGGCTCTGACCCTGCCAGTGACCTCATGAAGCTGGCTGAGCGGAGTGGCTTTGGGGGCAATCGCCTCAAGTTTCTTGCAATGGGTCAAGGCCAAGAAAAGGTAACTAGTGGGTTTGTAAGCTGTGTCCCGGAGTGCTCCTGGGGTGGAACCGAAGTCAGGATCAAACAATGAGACACTGGCGACAGCTTGGCTGTGGTCTCTCCACCACCTGTGACCACTCAACTCCACCCCTTTCTAAGCCTCTGTCACCATGGGTCCCATACGGGTCAGTGGTCTTAGGCTTCTGGTGTGTGGCTCATGGGAATCGTAGGGTGGCCATTTGGAAGCCATTTGTCCCATGCCACCTGCTAGCTCATTGTGACAGGGCACAGCACTCAGGGAAACTCGAGGTCAGAGGGCGCCGACTCCTAGCTGCGGCTTTGTTATAAAGTATCTGTGGGTCTCTGGGAAACACGGCTACCAACGCACAGGGCAGGAACAGTGACACTGGGTAGACAGGGCACGGCAGGCAGGTCCAACCTCCCACCCGGAGGAAGCCATTTCCATGTGAGTACCACCCAGGTCTGGCCCTCATGATCTGTGCTCCAGGCTCTTTAGGTCTGAATTCTGAGGGTCAGTTATGCTTCCTGGAGGGATGGGCAAGACTTTTGCAGGCCTGTTTGAGTCCAGTCTTGGGTGCAATGTGACTGTGACAGAAGTGAGAGGTCTTGGGGCTGTGGAGGCTGAAGAGGCACGAGGCATGGATGTCACAGGTGGCAGGAAGGCTGTCTCAGGAGGGTTTCCACCTTAGCTCCTGGATCCTTGCATCCTTCTCACTCTCTTGGGAATGCTAGTCCACCTGCACCTGCACCCCTCCTGCAGGTGGCACTGGAGTCCAGGGTTGGCCTAGCTTGGGAATGCTAGTCCACCCACTCCCACGCCCCGCAGGTGGCACTGCAGCTGCTGGAGACAGCAGTGGCTCGCGGACAGTGGCTCATGTTGCAGAACTGCCACCTTCTGGTCAAGTGGCTGAAGGACCTAGAGAAGTCCCTGGAGAGGATCACCAAGCCACACCCCGACTTCCGCCTGTGGCTCACCACAGACCCCACCAAGGGCTTCCCCATTGGAATCCTGCAGAAGTCCTTAAAGGTCTGCCTTGGGGTCAACACAGGCATGCTACAGTCCCGGTCCAGGTCACTGCCATAGGGACCTTAGGGTGAAGGGGCTAGCCCAAGTACCCATCCCACTCTTCCTACGTGGCTGTGGGACTTGTGTGTGTGCCGCCCAGGTCTCCCACTCCAGCTCAGACAAGCTGTGGGAGCAGAAGGTGGCAGAGGGCTCCTGGGTCAGGTCTGCCTTCTGCTTTTCCACAGGTGGTCACGGAGCCGCCTAACGGGCTCAAACTGAACATGCGAGCAACCTACTTCAAGATCTCCCATGAGATGCTGGAGCAGTGTCCACACAGCGCCTTCAAGCCCCTGGTCTATGTGCTGGCATTCTTCCATGCTGTGGTACAAGAGAGGAGGAAGTTTGGCAAGATCGGCTGGAATGTGTACTATGATTTCAACGAGTCCGACTTCCAGGTGAGGGTGGTGACACTGGTCCAGCTGGTGCACCCCGAGCTGCCTGGCTTCTGCATCTGCCAAGTTGCGGGGTGTGAGTGGCTGCTAACAGCTGTTTCTTCTCTTAAGGTCTGCATGGAAATCCTAAATACATACCTAACGAAAGCCTTCCAGCAGCGTGACCCACGCATCCCGTGGGGCAGCCTCAAGTACCTGATTGGAGAGGTGACAAGGCTTGGGTGCTTCCTGTGGGCTGGGGTCTGGGACCGAGACACCTGTCCTTTGAGCCCTTAGGATAGCCCTTGTTCCTGCCCCCACCCACTCCTTACCACCCAAGGTCCCTTAAACATACTCTTGCCTCCTCACTGTTTTTCCAGGGAGGTCTCTTGTGTGACTCTAGGGCCCAGGGCCCCCGCTAATCTTTCTCTGGGCAGTACCCAGCTTGCCAACGTGCTGAGCACATCCAAGAAGCCTTGTTGTATTCTTGGGCTGTGGGTACCATGCTTCTAGCTGAACTGATGGGAAAGCTAGATTTGGGGAATTCTGCAATGCAGAAGGACTGACTGCTGGTGTCTAGGTTCTTGTCTGTCTGTCTGTCTGATCCACTTGGGAATTCTCCCAGTTGCTTTAGGCTCCCTGTGGACTGCTTCATGCTTTTGGTCTGTTTTCAGGAGGCCTCAGCCTAAAGCGTGATTTTATAGATAAGCCCCCTTTCTTGTCTGTCCGGCCTAGGTTATTTAAGTAGACAGGTTGGAGCTGGGCAGTGGTGGAGGCTGGAGCTGCAGGTGCAGGTGGGGTGATGGGACCCCACTGGTTTTCATCCACTCTGACCTCAGGTCATGTACGGAGGCCGGGCCATCGACAGCTTCGACCGGCGCATCCTCACCACGTACATGGACGAGTACCTGGGAGACTTCATTTTCGATACTTTTCAACCATTCCACTTCTTCCGGAACAAGGAAGTGGATTACAAAATCCCTGTGGGTGACGAGAAGGATAAATTTGTTGGTGAGCTGTCCCTAGGGTGAAGATGACAGATTCCATGTGCTTTTGCTGTGGTTGACCCAAGCTCTTTGCCACCCTCTCCTGGTGGGACTTCTGGGCTGGCCAAGTGAGGCTGTTCCCTGGGCTCTGCCTCACCTCAGAGCTGCTCCTTAGCCGAGGTTACCAACCCTGGGATGGCATCTGGAAGGGTGACACTGGGATGGTGGCTGAGCCATCTGCACCACAGATACAGTGCATGCAGATGGGCGAGGCCCAATAGGGCCTTTACTCTAAAACACAGCAACAACAGAGTTACTTTTGATTTGGGGAGTCCTCAGAAATGGTACAACCTGTTCTCTCTCACCGTGATTCTAGAAGCCATTGAGGCCCTCCCACTGGCCAACACGCCGGAAGTGTTCGGTCTCCACTCCAATGCTGAGATAGGCTATTACACACAGGCAGCTCGGGATATGTGGGAGCATCTGCTGGAGCTACAGCCACAGACAGGTAGAGCTGCCGGGGCAGGGGTGCTCCTGGTGGGCGCAGGCAGCTTTCCCAAGAACGAGGAGGCTCCCAAAGCCCCATCTCCCATTGCAGCTAGTCTCGAAACCTCTTAAAGTGTCATCCTTCCAGGGGAATCCAGCAGTGGCATCAGCCGTGACGACTACATTGGCCAGGTGGCCAAGGACATTGAGAACAAGATGCCCAAGATCTTTGACCTGGACCAGGTCCGGAAGCACCTGGGTTTTAACATCTCACCTACCTCAGTGGTGCTGCTGCAGGAGCTGGGGCGCTTCAACAAGCTCGCCATCCGCATGACCAGGTCTCTGGCTGAGCTCCAAAGAGTGAGTGTGGCCCTGGGACGGACAGGGCATGATGGGGGGGAGCCCCAGGCCCTCCAGAGCCCTGCTGAGGACTCTCTGTTCTGCCAACAGGCCTTGGCTGGCGAAGTTGGGATGAGCAATGAGTTAGATGACGTAGCCAGGTCTCTCTTCCTCGGGCACATCCCTCACATCTGGAGGAAGCTTGCCCCGGACACCCTGAAGACCCTTGGAAACTGGATGGTCTACTTCCTGCGGCGGTACAGCCAGTACACACTGTGGGTGAGTGCCGGGCCACTGTGGGTCTGGCTCTGCCCACACACCCACTCCCGCTTTCCCCTGGGAATGTATATCAGGTGTCCCAGGGACGTCCTCAGTTGTCATGCCTTTGCGAGTCTGATTTATGTACGCATGAGAATTTCTTCTAAATGTCTTGGCATCTGTTCTAGTTCACTCTTTTTAGGGTCTTTATCCTTCCTCCTAGCGGTGGACATTAGGTGGTGACTGTACACATTTGTGTCACAAAGAGCACTGTGGTCAATGTCCTTGAGTGAAGTCAGTGTGTGTACCACACACCCTAGAGCACGCGTGCCCTTCATCTGTTGTGAGATCACCTTTATTTCTGCAGCCATGCTGGCATGAATTGCTGCAGTCCTCCTGCCTCAGTCTCCCAAGCGTTGGGATTATAGGTTTGAGCTAAAGTCTTATCTGTGAGTTTTCTACAAAGTTGAAGTCATAATACTTGGGGAGTGACATTTGTTTTCTTCTGCAAATCTGTGCGGTCTTTGAGTCTGGGGCCTTTGCTCAGTGATGGAGCATGGAGCATTTAATTGTTTTTGGCCTGCTTCTTTTATTTTTTTCTTTTTATTTATTTGTTTGTTTTCTTTTTCTTTTTCCTTTTTTTTTTTTTTTTTTTTTTTTTTTTTTTTTTTTTTTTGTTTT